AAACAGCGACAGCGGTAATAAGACAGTAATTCTTATATGAGTATACATAGCGCACAGAGCTTACGGTAAAAAGCCTGACATTAATAATCACACATACTGCTAAAATATGGCATTACATAAATCACTCATGTTATTACGAAATAAAGTACATAAATTCATTTTTAACTATTATAAGCCAAGCTTGACTACTATCCACGTGATGGTAAGTGGTGATGCAGCCGAAGATTGCACAGTGCACCGACTTAGCTAAACAAACGTAATACACTTTAACGTATTTTAATCGGAGGGAAGCTGGGAAACTGTGGGATGCTGAGGATGAATGATGCTGATGAGGAACTAGGGATGCTGGCAAACTATTCCACTCCATTGCTGTTCTCATTAAAAATATAGATTTCCTAATTTGAACAAAAATCATAACTCGAACTGATGTTCAAAAGCAATTAAATAAATCCAGCTAAATTAAGTATTTTCACAATTATTCCCGTAGAAATGAAGAATGAAAAATAGTTTGACGTCTACATTTTATTGCATTACTTTACATTTGCAATGTACACCCAGTTCATTAAATACTTAACATCCTTCGCTTACTAACAACACAGTAAGTATTATAAATATTATTCAAATGGATCCAGCAAATATATTTACGTATTTCATAAAGCTGCAAAGGCTGCGAGGAAAACGGGACCGAAATAAAATAACGGCAGCACGTAAAAAAAAAATACTCTAAACTATACTTTCGTAATGTAACATATGAGATCAATTATTAATACACACTATCAGACTAGAGAGTTTCAATATTGTTATTTCAATATTTTAAAATGGTTGCTATTCTGTTCATAAAACTTAAAGAAGAAACGGCTAAAGTATCCTAACCGTTGTTGAAAATATAAGTAAATATTAAAGTAGAATGCAAATCATAATAACGATAAGAATATTTTCGAACCCTGCAAATTACATTATCAATCAAGAGACAAACCTCTACATCTTTTCTTTGGTATGTTAATAATATTTTCAGTATTTTACTCAATACAAAAATTCTTTCTTTATGCTTTTCCTCCATTTTATTTAGAGAAAATTGCCTAAACTTTAATTAAATTTTCGAATACAAGTGTTAATGAGCAAGCTATTAACAATTTTGATCACTTTGAATACTTTCACCTTAAATCTAGTTTTTTCAAATTTAATCTAAACATTTTTGTTCTTTCTAAAAACTTACAATTATTCTACTGGTTAAATATCAAACGTTAACAACATTTTATGAATTAGGCAAATACATGTTCATTCACAATTCAAAATTACAAATCGTAGGTGGTAAAGTCGTGATAACTGAATGCAAAACATGTGTGTTGAAAGGAATAAAATTGTGTTCAGAATTAATGTTAATAATAATAAGTTAGTAAAAGTATACAAACAAAATATTAAATTATAAGATTTTAGAATGTGTTTACCCAAGTTCTGTTACTTTTTTAATACATTCTGCATAATATTATACCATCTATATCGATAGCTAAGGAAACATATTGCAATCTTTTTACGCTATCTACACATATAATTTGTATGAGAAGAATAATTTCACTAAAGTGTGGCTATCGAGCGTTGCTGTGATGCACTCTAGTTTTTGTTTACGCGTAACTGCACAAGCAAATACTTAGCTTTTCCCGTGGTATCACAGTCATCGTCTTAATAAATCTGGTTTTGTAAAATAAACGATAATATCATCTGGACATTATTAACATTAAATTTACTTGTATAAATAGCGTCCAAAGCATTACACACATAATTTTAGATATTGCTGGATAATAAAGAAAAACATGCAGCCTTGTATAATGCAAATACAATTTTATTATATCCTTATAGACTAGCTTAACGATACAGTCAATTAGCCTTGTTTCATAGTACATGATAAATAGACATCAATAATAATCTAACACTTAGACCCAATATTGAATATTATGCATGTACCTATTAAAACAACACAGCTTGAAGATTAATGGCATAGGTTAAGAATAGAAGAACATTACTTAAAATATCACATTTATGAGAATCCTTACAAGGGTATAAGTGTAACTATTTTTGGTTTTGGTTCATACATAAAATCTATTTAAACAAATTCTAAAACATTGAAGACTTGATAAAATATAGTACCGGAATCATGATCGTTTGGATATTGCTATCGGTAATAGGCGATGTGATTATTTTCGGCACACATTGATACATTTGATTATTTTGATGATATTACATGATTGTGCCAAAAAGCTGTTTTATACGATGATTGATCACATAAATACTAAAATAAGTGTAAATATAACTAATACAACTTAATAATTATATTTAATAATTTAGTTATTTTAAAATATTACGTAATAAAAACCATCATATTAAATTGAAGTTATTTTAAATCTTTCTGAGCAATTTGGATGAAAAGAAGAAAAAAAAAGAAGAAAAGAAATTGATAGATATTAACATTTGTATTGTTCGAAGTAATAGAAAATAATCTTAATTTATGTGCCCTTGAAATAATAAGCAAATTATTTATTTTATCAAAGTTTGCGTAAGATTTTTGTACTTGGTATTTTTATAGAAGAAAATGCAAACGAGCATACGTCTTCTACATGATGGTTTTAAAAAAGTAGGAGGGAGAAGATCCCAGACCTACAAGAAAAGAGCCTTGTCCTTATATCACGTCGAAAACACTGCTGGCGACAGAAATTTCCACAATGTGGTTTGCGTGACAGAAAATTTGCACAGTGCTGGACTACCAAACTACAAGATTATACGTATGGAATTTAGAGTTTTATCACAGTATACAACGGTCGCATTTACAATAATTCAATTTTAAAATAATACAGAAATTTTGCAGTTGGAATTAATCCGTAAAATTTCTACTGAAGTACTCCCCGTTGTATATAAAAAAGAAAATGCGAACAGATGCAACGTCTCGCGAAAGGCCAGAGAATCGCAAAGAACTTGTTTGTCGACAAACTGGTATTGCGGTGCCCCTGTCTAGAGATGGGAATCTTATTCCATGTGAGGCAGAACTTGCGCCCTTTAAAATCGTAATCGGTAGTACGGATACAGTATTCTTCTACTGAGTACACCAATCCATTTACCCCGCCCTTCCAAATGAACCGCGGAACTGTACATCACTTGATGTGTCGACATCAAGGATTCCTATACTAGCTGAGGCAATAATGGTAGTGCTATCAAAATAAGACCAAGGATTTCATTATAGCGGCAAACGCACAAATCTGTGTCTTCTGAGGATTAACTGGTCTTGATTTAATCGACATCAATCCGTGACTTCAGACACGCGATTGTTGCGGCACTCGACGATGTGTTCCCGACAAATATGTATTAGCACACACTGTGCTTAAAGAATTGTCATTGAATTCGTGTATATAAAATTGAATTTCACTGGTTGACAACTATATGCAGAAGGAACAGGGTAGGCGATTGCAAGCAGGGTAGGCGATATCATTTATAATGCTCTGATATGTAAGAAAGCTGCTGACCTTGACCTAATTTCATATTTACTTAGGAAGCCTATAGAAAGAAAGCTTTCAAAGAAGCGCTTTGTGTGAAACCGGATCGAAGTCGTTCGTTAAGTACAAACTGTTCACCAAAGCTTTCCTCTCGGTTTTGACTGTCTCCATCAAACGTTGAGTCCGGTAGAGAAGAAGATCACCAGTTGAGCAACGACGACGGAACCCGTATTAGCATTCACTGATCAGCTAACAAGGTAATGGCGATAGGCCTTAAATCCTTAGTTCAACAGGTCTAAGCATTCGCTTTTTTAAGTATTGGGCGCTTTAACATTTTCCATGAGTTGGGAACAACGCCGAGAAAGTAACATATATTTGTTCTCAGCTATGTTAAGTTTATAAAATGTGCGTTTATTGTAGAAATAAATCGAAATTATTGCTAAATATCTATAAATAATTTAAATTATTATCTTATTTACAACTAGGAACTACAATTAATTTAGAATAATCGAATAACATCAAATTCGTCAAGAATTAGATTATATCTAATGAAACTTTAAAAGTCGATAAGGGAAAAGTAAAAAGGGCAATAACATGAAAAATATTCTAATTTTGTATAGATCAAATTCATTTGATATGTTTGGAAAATATTTTAAATTTATTAAACCTAAACACGTTCATTGGTACTTGTCCATAATCGTAGGCTATTTTTATTCCATAAACTTAAATAAATTTATCAATAAATTTCAAACACTATCAGAATTACAATATACGTTGACAATTATACAATACTATACATAGAAGGAACTTTGCAAATAATCACCATGCAATAATTTTATTGTTTATAGGAGTGATAAAACAGATAATAACAAGCATAATTTGTTTCAGGTGTGTGCATATATTATTACATGTTGATATAATCCACGCGCTGAAGTAATATTCCTTTTTAATCGCGTCCACAATTTAGATTTCGCATTTTACAGCAACTATGAAATTTTTATATCTCTATTGCATAGCTTGGATACAGCACTAACGATTTAGATGAAATTTTACTTAGAATCTTTACAAGTTTACCTAGCTAGGTGTCATAAGTGTCTATGAGATTTTTTAAAGTCAAATGAAACTCTGTCGACAAGGTACTCTTCTATAAATCATCATTATAGTGTGTTAAGCAAAATTGTTTACAATCTTGCAAAGTTTTTAAGAACCTATGCTTGAAGCATCACATGTTCTCATTTTTTTTTAGCTACGTAAATTAAACTATATCAGAAAAAACATTTATGTTTTTATCAATACCAATTATTTAACAAATCTTTTTACTCGATAAAAAAAAACTGTAAATAACAACATCCTAACTATCACAAATCCATAAAACCAATGTTAGAAAAAATAACATCAAATGAAACAAGAGAATTTTAAATATGTGTAATACTGGTCATATAAAATAGAAAGTTTCATTAAGAAGGTACTTATCATTTAGTCTTTGGGTTATGTGATTACATGAAAGTGAGTAACGCTTTAATCGTCCCAATTGTCATAGCCTGTATCAGGGTAGGCCCAGGGCGGGCGGCACGAAGTGTGCGAGGAGGTACTATTCGTTTTCGCGTTGTAGCTGGAAACATGTTCTGTTATTAATAATTTGAGTGACTGAAATTACTAAGATAAATATGTTTTAAACGTTTGTTTTTTTACGTGGTAGAGCCATCCTGCAGCTATATTAGTAATATAGTTGTAGTATGAATGGGTCGGCTCGACCGGGGAAGGACCACGCTCTCACAGAAAACCAGCGTAAAATAGCAGCTTAACGCTGCTGTGTTTCGTATGGTGAGTGTAGAGAACCGGAGACCCTTTTTACTGGCAAAGAGGCATTCCATCTTAGTCCTAACGGGTGACAACGCATCTGCATCTTGAGTCTTTAGTGAGGATAGATGTAGATGTTTATGGGTCACAGTAACCACTTACCATCAGGTGGACTGTGTGCTCGTTTGTCACCCTATCCTATAAAAAAACATACTACTAATATATGAATAATTTTATCAAATAGAAGATTAGAATAGAAGATGCCCAATAGTCTATATTATAAAAAAAATTAAGTCATATTACTGTCAACATATACAGTTAGAAATTATAGTTCATTAAAGCCAAAATCGTTTACAATTTTGATGTTCAGTATTGTTAGAGAGGCTATTGACGTACCGAGATTCCACTTGTTTGTAAGTAGTGTCACCACTGGACATGCGGCTGCTCGACGGTACTGGTTCCAATTCAGTCACATGCCAGGTAAGCAGCGGATCCGAATATCTACAAGGTAAAACTTCTGTTAACATAATATAAAAAAATAATTGTGTTTTAAAAAATATTACAATCACAAACAAGCTAACAATAAACCGATCGATACTACAGCCTATGGACACCCAAAACTAAATACAAACGAAACAGGCCACAGTATTGTCAACCCCAAGAACTAAAATTAAATACCTCGAAACCTGTAACTATACAGGCGCTCTTACCTTTTATACTCATAGCATAGTAGTGAGTGCATTGCAGCTAGGCGCCATAAACAGTTAAGAGTGTGGGTACCAACCAATATTAAATCTACATTTCAGTAATGAAGTCCATATTCAAAGTAAAATGATGAATATTCGTATATACAGTATAATAAAAATGCCCATACATCATTATCACCAATAGACGTTTCAACGGTTGATAGATTGCTATAAATGCCATTATTGTTAGGCAAATTAGCGTTCATATTACTTGGACCCTTCTATAACGTTTCTCTTATTCTTACAACAGCTGCGAAACATTATAAACCCTTGTTTGTAGAGTCCCCATTGCCATGATCGCATAATGATGTTTATAACATTGGTATGTATTTATTCCACGGCAATTTTATGTTTGCATAAAATTGCCGTGGAATAAATATACGTGGTAGAGCCATGCTGCAGTTATATTAGTAGTATAGTTGTAGCACGAATGGGTCGCCTCGACCAGGGAAGGACCACGCTCTCACAGAATACCAGCGTAAAATAGCAGTTTAACACTGCTGTGTTTCGTATGGTGAGTGTAGAGAACCAGAGACCCTTTTTACCGGAAAAGAGGCATTCCAACTTAGTCCTCACGGGTGACAACGCATCTGAAATTTGATTCGCAAACGAGGATAAGTGTAGATGTCTATGGATCACAGCAACCACTTACCATCAGGTGGAATGTGTGCCCGTTTGTCACCCTATTCCTATAAAAGAAAACATCACTGGGGAATATGTTTGTAATGTGTACGGGAAACATGGGGAAATATACAGAGAAAATAGGAAACACTTACTGATCGTAAGAGCCAAACATCCCATTGATTCCGTCTCCTTCGAAAATATTCCGATCTCCTACTGGGCGGGGTTCGCTAGCAGCTGGAGGTATCATAGTTCTTTCTAAAGGATTTAGCGGGGGTGGTGTAAAAGCAGGAGGCGCTGGTGGATTGGTCTCCAGAGTTGAATTTTTGATACCATATTTGAAGTACATTATCAAACCTAAAATATATTTAATCCCGTCCCTTATCTTTCATCAAACACAAAAATATTTCAAAATTATAATGTTTTGAATCACAAACAAAATAACTAATCCTAAAAGTTTAATGGGAGAAGTAACAGTTGGTAAGCGAATTGACGATCACAGTACCAGACGATGATGACGTTGCAGCCCGTCACCGGTCTGTGTACTGTACGCTCCAAGTAAATGTAATGATTACACCATAATCTATCGAAAGCCATAAGATTTTTTCTAGAATTTTCCATAGACGCCTCTTATGACACCAACAAGGCGAGATGGAGTGATTGTGACACGGAAAAATTACCATATGAAATCTTCATTTTTTAACATTCCATATAGCTGACCACTATTTTGTATGCACGATGGTGTGTTCTTGTGCAGCACTATCCGTAATTTTATGATCCAAATTTTCATTGTGTATTTCCAAGCGGATTTTGTGTGTTACCATTTGTTGCTTCAAAATTCTTAAGGGTTGAGTAACGTTTAAATAAAATAAAGTAGACTAAATTATAACATTTAAAAAAAAATTATTTAACATTTTTAGTCGACTTCCAAAATGAAAACTTCTACTCTATTTCTTTTGGATTATAATTTGATTATTGTTTTGGTATGCATGGTTCGTGATATCTCAACTAATAATTGTTAACAGCGATTTTGATGATTTTATTTTTGTTAAAAAGCCTCTACCCCAATTTAAATAAGACCACTTAAATTTTTATACTATATTCTGGTTGCTACTTTGCTCTACTTATATTAATAAGTCCATTTTATGGGGTCAAAAATTAAAACTTTAATAAAACAGTAACAATGGTTTTCGAAGAATTATAAATTAATGAAGTAATTTCTACATAATTTGTTTACCACATATTACGTGGAAATTATTTTAATCTTTTTACTTATTGTAGTGAGTTTTTACTTTTCCAAGTTTAATTATTTACATTCGGTTTAGACAAAAAACCAAGTTGGCAACACTGGATCTCTGACATGACATTTTTGATAGTACATAAAATTACCGCATAGTGTACTAAAGTTCTTTCGCAGCCACCACACCGCATTATCGCGATATCAGTGTTCACTTACTTTTACAATATATCATACAACATAACTCACTAAAATATCTGGTTGTAGTTAAAAATCAGTAGTAAATTAAGCTTAATTAAAAACTTGTAAAGAACATTATTTATAATGGTCGCCCTTAGTGTTATACTAAATGATATACTTACCAAGTATCATCCAAATAGTGAATCGGACTAAAGTTAAGATTGACAGGTTGAGAATCAAATAAATGTTAACGACGATGGCAGTTGCTGGCACGAAAGGTAATCCGGGAGTCGTGTACATAAGTGCGACCCTATAATAAGGTTTTCAGTTATTAAATAGAATTAAAACAATCAGATGTTATATGTACGATGGCCACGCCAAAAGAAAGAGATAATAAAAATAATTATATTTCTTCTTTATTACTTGAATCGATTTTTTAAAATCTTGAGCACGTATGAATTAAGAAGAGTCTTTCTGGATCTTTCAAGCTGGAATCCTTTTTTACGATAGATATCCTTAATTTTATTATGTAAAAATTTAGTGTGGAATGGGTGACAATTAACGACTTAAGATAAAAAATTAGTGACTTAATACTTTGGGAGATATAGCCCTTTCTTTTGGGAGGATACTAGCCTGAATTAAAGCTTCAACCAGCCTCGCCTCGAATCACTATTATTTTGTCCGTTTGAGATGTGATTCCTATTTTAAGATTTAGTGATTAATCGGTGACTTTCATATATCGAGCTTGAAAATTTTTATTACCGTAGCTATTCATATGTCTTAAGGAGGACGCTGGCTTGAATATTTATACATCACAGAAAAGCTCCAGTACGCCTAGTCTATGTCTTTCGCTGAGAAATATGCTGTGTCAAGATTTAGTAGTAAATTAGTGACTGTTAGTTTAAAAACCATAACATGTATGGTCTGAAGATTAATTCCCTAAAAACACAGATAATTATCACCGGAAGTTCGAATATGATTGGAAAATCTAATCTATCTCAAGCACCTCAAGTTATTTTTGATGGAAATTACATCCTTGTTAGTGAAAATTTCACATTTTGAAATTGAAATTTGACATTTGGTATCAAATTCTTCTTTATTGAATGTTTCAACAAACTACTAACTAACTATAAACCTGAGACTAACTATAAACTACTGTTTGTAAAAAAACGGCAATGGTCTTGTTACAAATGTGGTTTATTCAGTCTCGGATTCAAAGAAAAGTTTTTGTCAAGAATATAGCCCCTTAGTCGTAGCGCTAATTGGCTTGACGAAATTTGACATTTGCTATCATATTCCAAACTTCACATTTTAGTTTATATCTATGAGATTTTTTAATTCAATAAGACTCTAGTTTGAGCCTGAAACTAATTATAAACAATTTTTTTTATATATATTTATAATTCGTTTAATAACCTACTCTAAAACCATCCTTTAGACCACAGACAATAGAAACGTGTTACAGTAGACGTGCAATGTTGCAATGTAGTGGCGTCAGAAAGGTTTCTTATTTTGACTGTTTGTGACACCAAGCTAAAATTATTTTCGGTCACAAACTGCTTCATAAAATTCGTAGTCAGCTGTACTTTGATTTTCTAGCACCGCAGTAGCAATATGACTCGTCTTGCAAAAAACAAACAGTTTTTACACAAATAAATAACACTATTAAAAATAAATAACACTATTAACAATAATTAAAAAAAACACAAATTAGTTGATTCAAGAAACAAATAATTTAACGAAGACTTAATAATATATTTTTAACTATTGAACGTTATCTTACCGATTTTGTGGTTTCCTCGAAATCATCAGCAAGATAAAAATAATACCCAAGATCAGAAGGGACATCACCACTGCAGTAAAAGTGGAAGTTCCGGGATGGCCATATGCAGCGAACAAGTCGAAAATAATAACCAATACGTACATGACGCCAACCGATTTGATCACGTACATTCCTAAAATATTTCAAATTTATTTAAAATAAATAAAAAATTAAAGTAATTAATGTAACTTCATAAAAAATATTTATACTCAAAACTCATATTATGTCAATGAAGATTATTATTGTTATCTATAACATCTTGTATGCAGATATTTCTTACCACTCATCTCGGTAGCAGGTCCGCAATCAACCCATGGAAACAATCCAGGACAAAGATACGACATAGTGTGTAGTTGACGTGACAGAGCATCGAAGAAACGTCCACAACGTGTGGAGCTAATGGACGAACCACCAGGAACTGCTCCTGTTCATTAATTGTATTTATTATATGATAATTCAACAGTAATTGGGATAAAGATATAAAATATTATGAAATTGGAATGGAGCTCCACCAAAAGACAACAATCGCATATTTAAAGCTATTTCATGTATGTATTAAAATATATGTAAGTTAACAACGTTGAAGTTATTCCAGTAGCTTTTAAATATAATTTGTATTTTATTTTAACTTAAATATATAAACAACCGGAAATATGCCTAAAATTTAGATATAAAATTAAATATCTCACCATAAAACTTATTCTCTGTATGAGGGTTCATAAGAAAAGTATCGTCTCGACCAAATTCCTCGCTTTCATCACCGGGGAGGGAGTCATCAGAATCCGGAGAACTGTGAATATACTAAAACGCTTAGCCAATCACGCGTGCGCTCTATTAAATTTGAAATAGAAACATTTTATAGTAAACAAATGAGCTCGCCGTTCGCTGGGCAAATACAATCACAAATTCGCTTTGCATGAACGCAGATAATCTCTTTACCTTCGAGTGACACGTCGAACCATCACACGTTGACTTGGAGGCATGATTTGAGTTTGAGAGTGCACCTGCAAATAGTAGTAGCTTTATTTAGCGTTTATTATTTTGGAGTAGTTATATAGTATTCTCATCTGTTTGGGCTGTATAAATATATATGAATAATAATAAATAACAAAATAAAATATTTGTTCATATAATACCACACTTTAAATATAGTAAAATAAATAAATAAAAGTAAGTACATAAAAAAATTAAAAGTAAAAACCCAACCATATGGAAGCCATTGGCAGGGAAGATCAAACGGCCGAGGGTTAGGGGGAAAGGGAATGAAACCGGCGGATGATGCAAACGGTATCGAGGAGCACCGCCTTGCATTGAGCCCGGAATAGTTCACCAAGAAGTTTTATTCGCCTCAGGTGACCGGGAAGGCTAACTGGGATTAGCCCGTCCCTAGAAACGACTACAAGAATAATTTCGATCCGCAGGCTGGATGTCAGTCACCTCGTTAGTCAGGTCCGGATATTTTGTTCGCTTATCTGTTTCAATTTCACGAGATTCTGTTCATATGCAATGGAATGCTAATTTCGACCAAAAATATCCTTGACTGGGCCCGGTCCATCAACACAATATCAGGCTTATTCGCAAAACTTGTCATGTCTGTGATAACGGCCCGGTCCTAGTATTATCTTTTTTGATGCTCAGTTCACCATTATTTATGTTTTATTTTTGCTAAAAAAGCTTAAATAATAATGGTTAAGTGCTTAAATAATAATGGAAATTTCAAAAGCTGATATCATTCTACTAATTGGCTAATTTTAGTATCACTAAGTAAAATTTTTGTTATAATTATTATTAATACACATATAGAGTGAACAAAGTTGTTAAACTTCAAAAAAAAAATTATAATGATTTCTTAAATATTCCGAAAGATCTGAAAGAATTGTTTTATTTAAAAAAAAATATCGTTTAAAAATACTCGTTTTCAATATGATAATTAATGATATTTCAATCTCCACATTTGTACAAATCTCAAAATGGGCTTATTTCGCAATCATTTTTTATCACACGAGTGGTTTTCCTTTTAAATACTTTATTTAAGATTAATTCATTTAAAATTCAATACTGATAATGAAAAGTATACGAACGTCAAAAAATAATTTAGATAATAATTAAAATTAGTTTATAATATTTTTTTTCATAAGTTTCAATAAAAAGACCTGATCTCTTTAATGTTTCTTTTTATATTGAATAGGTTATATTTCAAGGCTGTTCTAATATATATTTTTTTTAGAATAAGTTTCATCCCTAAAGGTAGAAATATCGGAATAATGTTTTTAATGTAACTGGTCGATATTCTAGTTGTTATCTTCAACTAGTAATATTCCTTAGTCCACTCAAAAGGCTATTTTTTTTAAATAAAATGTAAAACTTGTAAAATGTAAAACAACTTCAAAAAAAATCACCCAATATCTTCTAAAGTGGAGTTTTCATACTTTAATTGTGTCTTAGCACTAACTTCAGAAACTATTATGTGAAAATTATTTTATTATTTGTTTTTCTTTAAATTCGGTTTTACTTTTTTTTTAATTGTAATTATTTAATCGGCATGCTGTTTACGTTACTTAATACTAATCTTAAACAAATCTTAGTAAATGAAGCTTTCAAACATCACGAACTTACAGAAAATGCAGTTTCTCTTTGTGAAGCCGAGGCTTCGGGATCGACCGGAGTACGAAGGCTTTGCGGTAAAAGCTCGATCAGATTGGTAGAATGTGGTTGATATCGTAGTACTAGCACGCAAGTTGATACTAAGGTATATGCTAGAAGGGTCCCTGTAAAATAATCATATAATACCTATAGTATATTAATTGCCCTTTGTAATGGGCACATCGACTAACCAGACTTAGTGTTCAAATTGTTGTGTTTAAACTGTCCTAGAACCAGAAATCAACAAACAAAGCTTTTTAAAGTAGCGCATGCCAAAACAAATTTTATTCCAAAATTTGTTAGTCTGTCGTATACATAGAGAGTAGTACAAAATATTTCACTCTGAAGACATATTCTATGAAAGTAAACTAAACTTTGTGCAAAAAGTTCCGAAAATACTTAATGGTTGGATATTTCATATCATATACACACGCGCACGCACACGTCTCACTCGTGTACACACATAAACACACTACACACACAAATGGACGAGCGCACGCGAATACATCTAAATTGTTATGCCCTAAAATGTAATAAATTATAGATTCGGTTGAAATTAAATGTTTTAAAAATTGGCTGTAGGATATAGATATTTTTATTATATATTTTACACTAAAGAAGTTCTTTAGTGTAAAAAAACTTTTTTAAGTCATCCTATCAACCTAAGACTATCAATAAATCGCGTTTTGCAATAAGACAAAATAAGGAAAATCAATAGAACAATATGAATAAGTCCGTAGAAACTGGGCGATCCTTTACGACTAAGAATTACCCGACAAACTGTTCTAATAGCTTATAAAGTGGTTCAGTGAAAACAACATGCCACGACTCGACTGTAATCTTGTAAATAGCTCAAATATTTTCTGGTCGACGCCGTGGCGACATGTTGATATTGGTTTATTAATAGCTCACAAGGGACCACTGTATATTCCAATCTTCAGACAGTTTTGTTAACAAATATTCACAAATTTCCTTATATTATTACACCTTTTATAAATAATATGTAAAGTATATGTAAAGTGACAGCATATATACGTCCCACAGCTGGCACAAGCCTTCTCTCATTTCTGAGGCAAGAAAGCTGCCCGTTGGCAAACTTCACATGCCTACGAAATATTATTTTTTCTTATTTCTTAAAGATGCAGGTTTCCTCACGATGTTTTCCTTCACCGCCGAGTACGTGGTAAATTAGCACTTAAAATTACAATTAACAATTTCATTAGTGCCGGCGGCGATCGAACCCGGGTTGCTTGCGTACTGTGAAATTTACAGCAAGCGCTTAGGACCTGAGCTACCACGGATCTTGAGCTAAAACGGCTCTCTCTCAAGAGAAAGAGCAAATTGTAATTTACATTTGTCCTTAATTGGTAGTAGTAATAGTATTTTATCGGACCCGTCATCAGATGATGCCAAAAACTGTATTTGTTAGTTAATAAGAAATTAAGTAACTAGTACTCGTAAGTAGAATAAGTATATTTGTTAGTAAATATTTAAGATTCTTTTTGTAACTACCAGGGCGGCATAATCGCATCAGCGACAAAGCCCTTTATGAATAAAAAAATTGAATAATCTCCGTTTAATTACGGTATTAAGAAGTTAGACATCTCATTTGATGCTATGGATGTCCTAAATTTAAGGGCCTTTGTTTATGTGGCCTTCAAAAGACGGCGCTATAACGACATTGTATACATACACTATATGTAAAATGCCTATGAGGCTCCCCCGAGAACAAGGTGTCAAAATTGTAATATGTTTTGATTTATCAAGCATAGCGATAACACCAAATCCTCTTATTAGGTATGAAAGAGTCCTCCATAAAGCAGTTATCTAATTAAGACAATTATTATTAAGGGAAAATGATTGCTGGACACTAGAATAATGATACCTCTATCAAATGTCCACACTAACCTTCCACGTTAACCTTTATTTCTCGAAGGTACTAATTTTCTTAAACATAATTATGTTGTTCTACTATTATTAATGCCTTACTATATAGTTTTTACAATACTTCTACAATAGTTAGAAAGCCGTCGGAATAAATAATTAAAATTATCTATTAAGTGCAAATAATATTTGTTAATTTATATAACTATACCTACTATAGTTAGTTATGCACATCTAGAATACTTTATGTATAGTTTCGACAGATATAAAGTAATATATCCAGTATTTATACAGACTATATCGCCTATCTAACCTTTTGTCTAAATAATTAAAAAGCATCAGTTTTTATTTACAGTTAAATAAATCGTAGCCAACGAACCAGTTCTTTTCATAGAGGTCACGCTTTTAGAACCAGTGGCAAATTTGACATTCATAGCATCTTTAGGTAAGCCGTAACTGAATACTTTTTTTTAACTTTGTGAAGCAAATATTAATAAGTGATTTACATTAGTAAAATAATTACTTACCAATGCTCATCATTTCTACGAGGACTTCAAGTTGTACTACAAGGGAAACGAAGGCTGCAGCTATACCACCACAAATGGTGGCAAAAGCAGGTGAACCGGTCTTGTCTGAGATAGATGCAAGTTGCCTGATAAAAATAGAAAAAATTCAACTGGAGCTTGTACGTTACAAATTTTATTTAAGTTAAAGAAACAAAGCATAATTTAAAGCATAACGTTGTCTAAATTTGGTGAGCTTATCTAGTAAATTTTTAAATGTTTATCAAGATATTAAAGGAAAAGATTGTATTGTTCAAAAGTTCTCTTTGAAAGTTCCAATAATAATATTATTCATTTATTTATAACATTAAACGAAAATTTTATAAAACTCTTTGTTTTATATTTGTAATGAAAACTATAATTCTTATAACATATATAGGTTTATTAAGAAGATTGAAGGAATCGAACGATCGAACGAACGAATTGTAAACGAACAACTATTACAATATTATTTTCCATCTCAGATACAAATCATTATAGACATTATCGTCTTTCCATCACTACAATCATGATATATTTAACTTAATATACTCACGAGTCTGACTCGGAACTCTACCAAAACGAATTGATTGTCATGTGTATGCCACGATTTCCCCAAAACTTGAAAAACACAAGCGTACAACCAATGCGTGTTGTTACCACTAATAACGTATATAACCGGCAAGCCCAGCGTAGAATGGTCTACAAATATATATAGTGTATATAATATATAGGTCTCAGGTGAAAGCTCAGGACCATGTTTTGAAACATTATCTGTTCTTTTCAGCTGTTGACATGTGAAAGGTATTATGTGAAAATAATTTATACGCAACGACATGATATAGTCTGATGGAACTAACTTTTCGTTAATCTATATCTACGATTTGTTTGTTCCGAAGATAGCCAAAAACAAGCTGTTTAAGAGGGAAACGAATTGTGACCATTTAACTTTAGAAAAATATTGGCAAAATAGGTTTGAAGGATAAAAGTATACTCACTTGAAAATCAGTCCGTCCTGAGCCATGGCGTAAACAACACGTGGCATCGGGAACATGGAACCGAACATTGAAACGGTTAAACCAGCCAGCGCGCCTACGGCGACTATGTACTTGCACGTCGGAGCCTGAACGTAGGCGAACATCTGCACCAACGCCGAGTCCGTGTCCACTCTGTCATACGGCACTAACAAACAATACAACATTTGTTTCTTGTTGTATGTATGACAATTATTTATTTTAATTCATATAAAAATATTTCTTTTACCACTCTAATCCTTAAAATCATCCTTTATAAAATATTGCTGGTTATATTTAGATTTGAACAAACTTCAAAGTTCCAATCTAAACCCTGTTAAAACAGCACAACAAAGCACACTCTAGTTTTTAATTTGAATCTTCGCTAGTAACTGTAGGGCGCCACTATCATTTCATTCAGGGGTTGTTGACGCCTACTTGTACAGTCAGGTAGGTTGCACAGAAGCCACAGGTGTGTTTTAAAATCTTATACTCGATAAGTCAAAAGAAGCACGTGAAACTAAAACGCCTATAAATATCATAAAATTAACATTTATTTTAAAATATTAGAATTTAAAAAAGAAGTCGATAAAGAACCAAACCAGACTAGTGCGAGTAAGTATTGAAGTCTGAGGGTTTCTTATAAATTAAAGTATATTCTCTACTTTCATGAAGATAATTAAGCTAGCTTAATTAAGTAAGCACTTAACATTGCTGTAACGAAAAATTAAGATGGATTAATGAACAAACATAACTTTGTAGTAGATTATTTCTACTTCGTTAAAAATGACCTCCACCGTTCCTGAGTAAAAGGGTATTGACATGTTGCCAAATTCTAGGTCAACTGGAAGTACCCTATAGGTTTTGATTGGTGAGTTTTTGAGTATCAAAATACGTTACATATATGTCCGTATCTTTGATTGCGTTAACAAGGAAACTAAAAATCTAAGTCGGAATGTCCAAGTCGACTTCTTGAGCACCACACGGAGTCCACAGCAATTCAGCAAAATAGTAATACAAAAAAATGACAAGGTCTTTTTAGACTTTGAGAAATATTCATTCTCAAAATCTCAGAAAAACTTACACTGAGAGGCTGTTCTAAAATGTGATAAAATGATTGATGACAATGACATAGCATGACGGTCCGTCATGTAGCATATTTATTCACGAAACGCATGTTATGCCTCATTATCCTTTAGAAATGAAATGAAATAAAATTGTATTGCATTGTAAATTTGACATTTTTAAAAGTATCATCAAATTCTACCCTTTACGGATGTACATGCATCTGAATTAAAACTACTAACAAAGGTGACTCAAATTAATAAATTATGCTTAAATTCCAAATATTCTTTTAAACTGTAAAAGCAGTTCTTTAAAAGACATTCTTTGGTTAGTTTTTCAAACATTTTTAAAGGTACATTTTTGAAACTATCTGGTAAATGGTTATATTTTTTTTTATAGAATAAGGGTGACAAACGAGCACACAGTCCACCTGATGGTAAGTGGTTGCTGCGGCCCATAGACATCTACATCTATCCTTTATTACAAATCAAAATGTAGATGCGTTGTCACCCGTGAGGACTAAGCTGGAATGCCTCATTTCCATATATATATCTTATGCATCATATATGAGTTTCTAGTCAATAACGATAGTTTCGCCCAGGGTTTTTACAATTTAAATAAATATATTGTGTTCTTAAATGACGTTTTGTTATATCATTATTTTGTTTAAAGAGATACATAACTTAAATACAAAAAGACATACCTCCTAAATATACTTAGTCGGTTCATAAGTTCTGTCAAAACCTTATTTTTTTAAATTATTAATTGCTGGCTAGATGAGGTTCACCAATTTTAAAAATATAACGTATGCGCTTGCCGAAAATAAAAAAGTTATTAATTTTGATCCATTTTCAAATATGGAGTGGTCGAAGAAAGAAGATAGAGTAGCGGTTATCGAGTTGCACCGCTGTGGTTACGCGCCAAAAGAAATTTACAATATTCTACAAAAATTGAAAATAACCCTACGATTTGTTTATCGCACTATCAAACGATTCACTGAAGATTCAAGCTTCAAAGATCGTAAGAGGACCGGCCGACCTCATACAGTTAGGACACCCGCGATCATCAAAGCAGTGAAGGAGCGAACCCAACAAAATCCTGTTCGTAAAAAAAATCTTAGCTCTTCAGATGGGCCTAAGTAGAACCACGGTCAAAAGAGTGATCGATGAAGACCTAGGACTACGAGCTTATCGTAAGAAGACCATATATTTTTTGAACAAGCGTTTGAAAAAAAATTGGCTGGATAGATACGGCGCTTTATTACGGCGGTACGCGGGAAAAAAATACCGCGACATTTTGTTTTCGGATGAAAAAATTTTTAACATCGAAGAAAGTTATAATAAACAAAATAATAAGATGTATACCCACAGCAGTGAAGAAGGCAGCACGCGTATTCCGTGTGTTCAACGAGCACATTACCCTTCGTCACTCATAGTTTGGCTTGATGTCTCGTATTCAGGTTTAACTGAGGTGTTTTTCTGTGAAAAAGGTGTAAAAACCAGTGCCGAGATACCAACATACCGTCCTAACAAATATAGTGGAACCTCTTTCTCAAACAATGTTCAAAAACAGACATCGGATATTTCAACAGGACTCTGCACCAGCTCATAGGGCACGAAGCACGCAAAACTGGTTGACCGCCCGTGGAATTGACTTTATCGGACATGAAGACTGGCCCTCTCCTAGTCCAGATTTAAGCCCACTGGATTACAAGATATAGCAGCATTTGGAGGAGAAAGTCTGCTAGCGCTTTTGACAACCTCATTAGAATTTGGAATCTTTTCTAGCATGTTTGGCTAAAGCAGCGGCTGAAATAGATATAAGTGTGGTGCTTGCTGCGATTGATGACTGACCTTGTCGATTAAGGGCGTGTATTCAAAATGCTCTCCCACATTTTGAATAATGTAAATAAAATTGTATTCTAAATTAAATTACCTTTCATATCATATATAATTTCTATATAATTATCAAAAAGTGTATCTTTATTTTATAAAAAGCTTTTCTCAGAACTTATGACCTGACTAGGCATAAATATGGAACAGGTAATATATTACAAATTTGAAAAAAAGCATGGTCGACATGAAACATTAGGATCAAATATTGCTCTAAAATATTTTGCAGATCACCAGAATTTCTCCATTATACAATGTCATAACACAGCACAGAGTCGATATTAGTATTGTAAGCTAAGATACCTGCTTGTATTCATATTACCTGACAAAGTCTACTCAAGGTATACACAATAATAAAAGCGCCTGCTTTTACGAATCTCGGCCGTATTGTTAATTTTTTTAAGTTCTTAAGTCCATACACTATAATAAAAGTGTAACGTCATCGATTGAGTAACTAAAAGTCTTCATATAATAACATCAAAACCTTCATTCTAAAAATAACCAAAAGGAAATGTTAAAACAGCTTTATTAGTAGCTGTTAATTGGTATTGACTGCCTCGTTTACCTAGTGGTCGTAAACGGGACTTCTGATCATGAAATCCTGGATCGTCTAAAATAATTTATTAAGAAAAGAAAAGAAATTCGCTCTGGGGCGCATTATTGTTAATTATTATTATTATTTATTGGAAGTGTAATAAACAATTAGGCAAAATACCTATTAGAGTGAGTATCACAGAGCTGCTGACATAAGCAAGTAAGATGATCCCCAAGCTTAGCACTATTGCCAAGGGAATGGATCTTTTCGGGTTGTTAGCTTCCTCTCCAGTGGTGGCAATGATGTCGAACCCGATAAAGGCGTAAAAACAAGTCGCTGCACCGCTAAATACCTACACAGAAAATAACACTTATTAAAATTTGAACGAATGTTACTCACTTTTGTATCCTTTCTCATACCTATGATTTTTACATTAAATATTACATGTAAAAAAACCCTTTGTCCGTGTAGGTGTTTTAAATATACCGTGATGTGATTCTATTAATGTAATACTTTTTAGAGAATAAATAAGAAAAACAAAACCCTCAAAAAAGTCAAAATAAAATAATTAAATGGGAAAACCAATACAGTAATACGCGCAGCACGTGCAGCCGCGAGGTAAGGCTTTGACCTCTGTTGACCCCAGCCTTCGCTTATCAGTTTATCGTTTTTTCGTTAGAAATAATTATTAAAACACCCAAACGCTACATATTTGTAGTCAATTCGGACACCATTGTCAACAACGTTGTTGCCAGATTTTAAGTTATTGGTAAAGTTCAAGAAAATTATAGTAAAAAGTATGTACAATATGTATGTAAGTATTTTAAATAACAATAACAATTGTATATATAAATCTAAGTAGATGTTTTTTCTGGTAATTTGCTACTTATGTGCTCCTATCAAATCGGACAAGGTGTTTTACATAATGTATATGATTAATAAACGTACACTTAACGGCTTTAAAATAAGCTTCACAGTGTTTTAGTTCATTGTTGGACAAAAGCTTCTCAAAGAATACGCCATTGCGAACATTCTTCCATTGGTTACAAAGAAGTAAGAATGTGAGGAAAGAAAGAAAGGATATTATGTTTAAATAAAGAAAGTAATAACATGATGACCAAGAGTAAGTAAAGTCGTGAGTTCGAACCTACCACTCGACTATATTTGTAAATCCCAGCAGAAGTAGTTCAGCTTAGCCATCGGGCTTAGTAGTATTATGATAGTAAAAGTAATATTAAGGCTTTATTTCATTTTAGTTTTAGGACTTAAAATCAGTTTAATAGAATTTTAGATTACAGAACACACAAATGCAACCTTTTCACACAGTATGTTTTAAGATTTTGCATTTATTAAAAAATCAGTTCAAATTTTTGTATTAAATAAAAAAATTATATATTAGTAACGGACAAAATATCAGGTCTTTTCCTATGAAATTACCAGTCATTAGTAATTATTTTGTCTATTTCTTTGGATATTTGATCACTAGGGGCAATTACTTGACCCAAGTACACATACTCTCTCGTTTATTCATGTCTTTTTCCATCTAATTCTATGTCAACTTCCGTAGAGATGGTCATCAGTTTTGTTTTGATTGTGTTCATTTCGGGACCTACTTTTCCGTTTTCGTTGTTTAGAATTTATACCATTGTTTGTAGCTTGCTTGGATCTTCGTCCAACAAGATAATATCGTCAGCAAATGATTTAAGAATACGAAGTCATACGAACGATTGAAGACGTTGTCATTAACGTTGTAGCTGTATTCATCCCGGTCTAGTCTTCTGAAAATATTTTCCAGCACAAAAGTAAACAGTTTGGGGGACAGTGGGTCTCCTTGTCTGACACCTTTGTTAAGGGGAAATAGGTCTCCTTTCGATTCTAAATGTTTCTGAGTATCTCAATCTTACCTACATTTTTTCCACTCCTTGCCATCTTAAAGTTAACCAAATGTAATTAATTGTGTTTCAGACTGTCAAATGCTTTCGAAAAGTGTATGGTAAAATTGACATATTTTTTTTTACAAATAAAAACTATTCAATCAAAACGTATGTCAAAAATAAATGTTAGTGAAACAAGTGAAACAATTCAACTCAGTATTTTCTCTTTCTATGCCGATTCAGTAATATTCAGTCGAGACGTGGGGCTGTCGCCGTAGTCCGTGAGTGACCCATTTATCATGCTTCCTTATTTTACCGATTTTTGACAAATGGTGCAATTTTTTTAATCTTGTAACTTTGTTTTAAAAGCATACACATACATTCCAGATCGTAATTATCAACGTTTTTGGGTAGTGTAGAGGTTCACTCCTAAGGTCAAAATTACCCGAACGAAAGCCATTGAACAAATAATGCACAGTAAGTTCATTAGTAGTGCTAGCTTCGTATATGCCATTAATATTACGTGCCTTTTGAGAAGCATTGTTTCCACGTCGGAATTCCAAAATATCAAGAATTTTTTCCAGTGTCCAGTGTAAATTTTTATTCATTATTTTTAGTATAGCAGCATCACAGAAAAAATTAAACACGAAGAAACAAAAGAATTATCTCTTTTAACAAGTGGTAAAATTAAAAAAAAATTGTACAACCAACTTCAATATAAATAAAATGAGAACATCATCAATGCAGCCGAAGTCAATTAAATACGCATTATTAAGGATGACTCAAAAACTACTCGTCAGATCGCAGCTTTTAAACGAAAAAAAGAATCATCAAAATCGGTTTATCTTGAAATATGTCCTGAGATAACACAAAAAAATACAGTCGAATTGAGAACCTCTTCCTTTTTTGAAGTCGGTGGAAAAGGGACTTTCATGCCTTAAATTTAATATTCGTTTGAATCTATAATTTCGAGTGAAACCATTGTTAGTACAGTTCAAAATTACCAGTTCAATAAAACGGCAATTTCATGGGCAAAGACCTTATATTTTGGGTTTACTTTCATTAATATTAAGTATAATTTACTCACTCCACTCCAACCATATGGCAAGAATCCCTTGTGCTCAGTCCAGTTAGTGAGATCAACGTAGAACAGGCCCGCAGTAATGATAAAAACCCATACGCAGAGATTAATAGCATTTAAGAGGTTGTTAAAGAAAAGTGATTTCTTCACTCCGGCAACCAATACCATTGTCATTAGAAGTGATATACCGAAAGCAAGGAAATCTGGTGGTTTACCTGTAAAATAAAAATTAATAAAAGATTGCTATTTTTAAAGCAATAATTAAAATACATTTCCACAAAACATCATAGAAAAATTATGTTTTAAGATCTGCTGAGTCGAATAGGATCCGTCGATTGATCTCTCGGTCGAAGTTGGACTTAGCTAAGCAGACACAATTTTTGTTAGGTGAACATACTCGTCAAAACTTGCGAGGAGTATGATGACTTTATATAATTATGGCTTTTAGTTGTTTTAGTACATTTTAATGGTAAATATAAATACCTACTTAATAATATGAGCAAATATTTACAGCACTATATAAACCTAAATTTTACAGTAAGCAAAAAAAAAACTATTAATGAAGAGTTATTACTATAAACGTTAACATTTTTTAGAAGGTTGTGCTTGAAATCGGAGCGTTCTTCAATCTATATTTTTTATAGGCACAGATATTTATTGGAAGGGAAAATATGCTCGAAACTATAATAATTACATGGGATGGGAATGTTAGCATGCGAACACAGCCCGTAACCAGTATGTCACTGTAAAAATACTATGTAAGTAAAAACGTATGCATTTTTTCTGTTTTAAACACGCTTTTAATAGCTTCGCGTGTATCTATCTACCCGTATCTATCTATCTATGTAACGGAATATTTTAATGTAATTTTTACTAACTTTTAGATAGTCTACTGACTTGAAAATTTGCACTCTTATAAAATAACTTCATTCTAGTATCCTGATCAGGATCACCAGGATAATTCTCTCTAGAATCATCACAGCTCATGATCGATGCGTGTTTTTTTTAAGTTTTCTTAAATTTTAATATTTATTAAACATGCGTGTTTGTACAAAAAAATTAAAAGCTGACTTCAAAAAAAAAAACTAAAAGAAAACATAATTCACTAGTAGTAAAGACACTAGTCTTAGCTCAAATTTCAGAAGATATTAATTTATGTTAAAATTATTTTGTTCTTTTTAGTTTTCTAAAGTCAGGTTTAATTTAAATGTGGACACTTGCGTGGGTAAGCAATATCACTACTTTAAGGTAACAACTAGAATGTAGTGTTAATATTTACATTCAAAATGCTCTTACATATTTTTCCACACTTAAGGTACGTACGGTAGTAATATATCTGTGGAACCATAAGGCCTAGAGACTTGAAATTTGGTAGAAATATTCCTTTTGCCGATTAGAGGTCAGCTAAGAACGTATTTTAAGAAATTCTACCCGCAAGGGGAGTTGCGGGGGTGTAATTTTAAAAAATCACACTTTCAAACTAAAGCTCTCACAGGTATAAAACATGGCCAGAATATTCTTTTTGGCATGAAAAATTACCAAGAACGGAGTCAATAAAATTACACCTACTAAGGGCAGTACGGGAGCGTTGCAATAAAAAAAATACTTTTAATCTATAGCTCATTTAGTCTCGCTAAATCTCGAAAACCGCTGGGTCAATTTTGATGAAATTGTTGTTTTGTCTTTTGATGTAAACGATTCACAATTAAACCCGGTAGGTGGCGCTGTTGTTGAGATCCAGAAATCACCCGTGCAAAACCGGGGTAATATATGTTATTTGCTTAAGGGTGGAATTTTTTCTTCGAATTTAAAATTAGTTTACTATTGGTGGAGATATCGGTCAAATAATGTATTTAATATTTCTTAGAAAAATGTAGGTGTAGGTAAATAATTTTGACGTTAACGTTTCATTTTACATTTCATGTTCATTTATATTTTACTGTCTTTAGCGTTTCTTGTATTTGTCCATCTTTCAGATTAAAGATAACTGTTGAATTGCTCTTCACACAATATTTTATAAAATCTTCAGTCAATAATATTTTTAATTTACTATTATACGTTTGTGTACATGGTTGAAAGTTAATGTTTGTGCGCATTTGTGGGTTAACAAACTGACCAACGTCAACTTCAAAGGGTGGAATGTGTTAATGTAGTATTAACAAAACATATTGATTATGTGGAAAGTTTTTAAATTTCCTAATAAATATTTCTTTTAAGCTTTGGGTATATACTGTGACGTATCCAAAGCCTTCGATTGTGTTCACCATGAAACATCATAAACATCAAGAAAATACTACACTACGGTGTAAGAAGTAATGCTCTTAAATTAATTGTTTCATATTTAAATAACAGAACGCAAAAACTTGTCATTGTCAATATTATCTCTTCTGGGTTGATAGTACAAATGGGCGTACCTCAAGACTCAATTCTCGGCCCCTTTCTGTTTCTTGTATATATTAATGACTTACATTAGATAGTAGGGGATAACCATAACATAGTATTATTTGCTGATGACAGTTCATTAATTTTCAAATGAAAATGACAATTATTAAAATATGACGAAGTAAATAATGTTATATCTAAATTAGTAAATTGGTTTAATATCAATAACTTGCACTTAAATAGCACTAAAACGAAATGTATGATATTCATGACTCCAAATGTCAAACATTTAAATAATAATGTAATAATAAATGGGGAGGAACTGAGTCTTGTCGATACCACAATTTTTCTTGGAATAACACTAGTCGCGAAGCTTCAATATCCCCATATATCAAAATTAGCAAGCAGACTTAGTTCTGCAGCATATGCTGTAAAAATGATTAGAAATCTTATCAGCGTGGAAACAGCTAGACTTGTTTACTTTAGCTTTTTCCATAGCATAATGTCGTATGGTATTTTGCTATGGGGACACGGGAATGACACTGAAATTATATTTGTTTTACAGAAGAGGGCCATAAGAGCAATCGATGATTTAAAACCTAAAGAGTCGTTCTGAGAAAAATTTAAGGAAATGAATATATTTACTTTGGCCTCTCAATACATTTATGAAAATGTAATGTATGTACACAAAAATAAAAGTAGTTATAAAAAAATAAGTGATATTCGTTCTGTATACACTAGGAACAGACACAAACTAGTAGTACCAGTTACGCGACACCACCGAGTCAGTAATTCATTCTTGGGGCGATGTATACTCTTTTACAACAAAATCCCAGAAAATATATAAAATTTTATCTGCTCAAAGTTCAAAAACCTTATTAAACAAAGTTTGTATAAAAACGTGAAATATCTTGGACAATATTGATATTTTATAGTTGTTACGGCTAAAAGCAGCAGATACACCTAGGTTTAGTCGGCTACAATGAAGTGCAACCTTTTGCGGTTGACTTAGTTGTATCTTAAACTAGTATAAAGTACTAAATTTGGGTGGAGTTTTTTTAATCTAATATTTTAATTTCACTGTACGCAAGCAGCTCAGGTACGATCACCGCTGGCACCACTGAACTTGTGAATTGCAATTTTAAATGCTTATTTACAAAATTTTCAGTGGTGAAAGAAAATTTTGAGAGGCAAACCGCATGTCTGAGAAATTAAAAATTATATATTTCCATTATTAGGAAATATAAAGTAATTAAATTATACTTTCTAAATAAATAATTATAATTGAAGTTTTATTAAGCAACCAGAGACAAATGAGGAAAAAATATACGTAAGAATAAAAAAATCAATTTTGAAAATCTCAACTCACTCAACTCAAACTTTAGTAGACGAAACTCCAAGTCAATGTTCAAAAACATACCAAGCGTTATGACATTTATAATATGAGGTAACCAAAGAGATTTAAATATATAGGTTTACTACTACGAGCTTAAATGTCTTTGGAGGTAACGCTTGTGTAGGTATTACAAATTTGTATGTGTATTTACATTTGTGTGTAAATAAAAAATTCGCAATTCCTTTTTTTTTCTTTTATAAAATAAGGGTAAGTAATAAGTAATAGTCCACCTGATAGTAAGTGGATACTGTTACCCACGGACAACTACATTGACCCTCAAATATGAATTAAAATACAGATGCGTTATCATCCCTGACTGAGATGGAATGCCTCAATTGTCAGTAAAAAGCGTCTCCGGTTCTCTACACTCACCATACGAAATACAGCAGCTTTTTAGCTGTTTTCTGTGAGAGTGTGGTCCTACCCCGGTCGAGAGGGTGGCTCTACCACGTAAAAATAGCTTACCTGGAAACATGAAAGTTAGTCTATAGACAGTTCACACTACGTTGATTATCTGTACTAAGTTTCATCGAAATTGGACATTTAGTTTCAGAGGAGATAGCAATAAAAATGCGTCGGAGTCGGGGTTATGAGGGCTGCGCTATGCTCGCGCTAAAAATATAAATTTATACTTTTTAAATTGCTACATTAACTTCTATTTAAATATCTTTGTAGGGGCTTACATTGCAATATTATAAGACCGGTCACATACATACGGAATTCTGTTTCCGGATTCCGTTTCGATATTTCGATTCGGAATTCCTAACGCAGCAAGTTCATATAAAATCTATGACCCGTCACACACGTACGTTAGTTTTCCATTCGAAATATTTGCGGTAAAAACGGGATTCCGTATGTGCGTGGCCGACCTGTTCGGGATCCTGAAACGGAATCCCGAATTCCGTATATATGTGGCGGGTCTTATACTGTGTAACGGTGAGACGTCGGGCCGGCAGTTAGCCCCTCGCCTCGGACCGAATAGGCGAGAACTGAGTGGAAATAAATGCAGTATATTCAATTACACTTTGAGTCATTTATCACCTACACCTATGGGCGACGATAAGGACTAACTCACACTGGTGACCCCTACATTTAGGAATTGGTGTAGCTGATTTAAATTAATACTTGGTGGACAATTAATATATTTAGTGACTCAAAAATTGCTAAACCGGTGCAAATGAAAAGTGACTGTACACAAATTACGAAAGTGGTATTAATGTCCCTGACCTCCAAGACACCTACATTCTGGAGCGATCAGCCCAGGCTCTGCTTCGTGCAATTTGAAGCCGTCGTTGCAAATAAAAAGTTGTCTTATGAAAACAAGTTCAACCTACTCGTGAGCAAACTCACCAAAGACAATGTGGAACAAGCAAGTGACGTGCTAATAGCTCCTCCAGAAACCAAGTGATATGACATGCTGAAGAACAGGCACAAGAC